GAGGAAGATAGCGTCGAATAAATTTAGTGTTATCCGAATTTCCTATAAACAAATATTAAAACAAGTTATTACATATGTTTCATTGTTTTTAACTTGATCACAGTCATATTAAATATAATGTGACAAATTTGATAAATATACAATTACAGGCATATGTGTTACCTATTATTTTTTTATTGCATATATATATATATATATATATATATATATATATATATATATATATATGTATGTATGTATGAATGTATGAATGTATATATGTCAGATGCACCAAAATATTTTTACAATATATTGATGCTTGCGACAGATAAAATTGCTAGATGAATATATTTGTAATGAGATTTTATGTCCAGAAAAATACTTTTTTGAAAATTATTCTTCATTGTATTTGGCAGCTCTGCATAACGTTATTTTCACTACTTTTCAAAGAATGGAGCACCTGAGAATTTCAGAAACGGTCAATCAGAAAATTTTCTACAGGAATGCAATTCTGAGGCAATCAGTCTATGTAAGTAAAGTAACCAATAGTAAGAAATAAGACATTCCTAATTTATTTTTTACAGTAATATTCACCCTGTACAAGCCCCAACAGCCACTACAGGTAGAGTGTTACAGTAAGAGGCAAATGTAGGAGTATTTCTATATACCTGTACCATACACGCGAAATTGCTATGCGACAATAAAGGTCGCAGAATAGCAGACGCTGGTCGCAAATTCATGATACGGTTCTATGACGTCGTTGCAATCAACGTCAACATAGCAAAATATCATCTTTCATGGTGAATATTTTTGTTTAAATGTTTAAACTCCCGTATAACGACTCTGAATATGGCTCATGTCAGCCGAAAGGTTAGATCAAAGCCCAGCTTAATAAAAAATATCCAAATTTTGAACAATTTTTTGACTTTACTTTCAACCGACAATCATTGTCTGCTATTTTTAAGAATATATGTTTAAATTCAAACACAAGCACACGCATATATATATATATATATATATATATATATATATATATATATATATATATATATATACATATATATACATAATAATTACAAATTACATTCATGAATTAGATTCAAACTGATAAAGATGTTACCTTAACTGTCTTTTACAATATTAAAAGAGTACTATTAGTCGGGTAAACAAACTGTTATAGTTTATAACTTTTGTAAAAAATATGTTCTCTATGAATGTGTTAATAAATACAGTATTTAACTTATATTAAATCCCTAAATTATTTGTAAAAAAGTTAAATATTTAAACTGCTAGAAAGCATCAAATTAATTTCTTCGTGGATTTTTTTAAACATTTAAATTACTATCAAACATTAAAATCTATTTTTTACATAAATTGCTAAAACTTACCACCCTTCTCCTTCATATGTAAAACCCATTTACAGCTTCTTTTTCTTTACTTCCCTCTCCTTTCTTTTTCCTTTTTCTTTTCTCTTTTCTCCCCTCCCATTTCATTATATCACTTCCGTTAAATTAACCGTTTAAATAGGTCAAGGTCTGGTCACTCCTCCTCCCCCAATACTAAGAATGATTGAGAGATATGAAATTAAAACCTCCCTAAACTCTACCATGTCTCTCTAACTACTCCTTATTACACTCTCTGTTAAATTACAAAAACTTACTTTACCCATCAATTTTCATTTCATTTTTCGTTTCATCTTTTGGAAGTGCTATCTGATGATCCGGCGTCCTTTAAAAGGGGTCTGGTGAAATAAATTATTATAATGAAACCTTAAAGTCGTCTGTTTTCCTTTAAAATATATATATATATATATATATATATATATATATATATATATATATATATATATAATCGGTATCACCCCATACAAGGCACTAAAGCCACTGAGACACATGGGGTTAAATAGTGTGGATGAATTAGGAACAAAAACATTAACAATGAGCGGGGAGATGAAAGGGTAATCAGAGGACAGTAGATAGAGTTTGATTTGCATTTAAATATTTGCAGATTAAAGTTGGCATGAAGATGGATGGGAGTTTCTCAAGCAAGAAGTCCGAGAAAACAAGCTTTTAGCATAGATTTTACGGCTATATCTAACCAGCTCAACCTCAAATTAATATCTCGACTCCAGTCAAGTACTGCACTTAAATTCGAAGAGTCTAGGTACCATAGCGAAGAGCTCATCCGAAAAATTAGCAGGAAAAGTATTTACAGAGAAGACACACAGAATCAACTTTACGGCAGTGGGAAATGACTGAAGCCGTGTTGCCATATCAGTTCGGATAATATTGCTGATTCTTCTTTGGATTTTATCAAGGAGGCCAAGGCAAATAGCAGGGGCACCGGACCGTATGTGGTAGCCATATTCAATGCATGGACGAATGGAAGACTTGTAGGTATGTGAGATAGATTCTAGAGGAACCAACTTTCTTAGCACCTGACCTTGCAATAAATTTAATATTGTCTTTCCAATAAATTTAATATTGTCTTTATATATATATATATATATATATATATTAGTAGAATCTAATATACAATTATTTCTCTATATATACATGCACGTGAATTACATCGTTTCTTTTATAGTATTGTGCTGGAGGGTGGACAAACGTATCTCTTGTCAGTAAATTGATCTGAACAAACTAGGACAGCTATAATTCCCTTTTAATTAAGAAGTCTAAAAAATATCCAGTCAAAAAATCGATAGCGAGAAAGGCTTTGATTTTTTTTAAGCATTTCCCCCCAAGCAAGGCAGGAGAGTCACTAAAAGGCAAAAGGGTTAGAGAGGGTAGAGAACAAGAGTAAAGAGGCGTGTTTGGGGAGAAGATAAAGATAATGACGGGGAACAAGATCAAGGGATAAGATGTCGATGGACATTACACTTGAATATTTGAAAATTATAGTTATCAGGGAAGCAAGGAAGAGGAAGAGAACTTCACAGACGGGAAGTGCCAGAGGAGAAGCTGTTGGAGTAGAAGAGACGGTTATATATAACCGTTTCGACAGTGAAAGGGCGGGACCGAGATGCCAACCCAGTAGATCGCTTATATTTCATGCAGTCTGGGAACCAGCGAAAGCAACTCGTCCGAACAGTCGCCTGAAAATACTTAAAGAAGTGGCAGAGGGAAGCGACGGCACGTACGTGTTAATATATTTACGGATTATCAACCTTTTGTGAGTTATTTAAATCTTTTAATATTGCGCGCGTAAATGAATTTACGAACTCGACTGGAATTCAATTCATTTCTACGAGTTTTCATTCAGCAACAAACGACGAAAACGTAGGCTAAAAGTATATATATATATATATATATATATATATATATATATATATATATATATATATATATATAATTCCGTAGAAATATGGAGCCAAACGCAGATTTGGTAATATTGTCTGTATTTTTAAATTTGGGAGGCCAGCATTATATAACAATCTTGGTCAGCTACCAAACATTTATTTTGCTGAATATAAGAAATAAAAAAGACTACTTTCTATGTAGGTTATTCATAGATAGATAGATAGATAGATAGATAGATAGATAGATAGATAGATATGCGAATTGAGTGACATAGATATTTTTATATAGCGTACCTATGAAAACTAATCCTCATAAATACGTTGGACACTATTGTAAGTGGGAGGTAATATGCTCTATAAGTAGTCCACCACTAGCAGTGGTTTACCTACTTCACGGCGCTAGCGAGTACTGCATTTTGTTGATGCTATAGATATTAACATTTCATTTCCAACCTCTGTTTTGGTTATTCCTCATTCAGTAAGCTTTTCTTGGTTACAGCAAATAGATAGATAGATAGATAGATAGATAGATAGATAGATAGATAGATAGAAAGATAGAAAGAAAGAAAGAAATAGATGCAAATTGGCTGACATAGATATGAACAGAGATAGATAGATAGATAGATAGATAGATAGATACTTACATTCTGAGGTAGATAAGTACATAGATGTGACTGACTCAGATCAATAAACTGGTAAATACAGCAGAAAAATCATAGATTTATTTTGGTCTATTCGTAGGCAAGATTTACTCTTACGTAGGTTAGTGAATAAATAATGAATGGCATTATCTTTATTATACTTTCTAAATATTTAACTTCAATAAAGAAAGGGAGGAAGTCTCAGAAAAATTTATCATTATATTGAGGCATAGTGGCGGCAATGCAGCGAGTCACTTACCTGACGGGGTTGACGAAACGTTGGGGGAGTCTTAGAAAAGGGAGAAAACCTTCTAAGGGCCACAAGCGACTGTAAGTTTTGGGTAGCCAGGATCTCCTATGTACTAAAGCGACATGGCACATACAAGAAGAAGAAGAAAAAAAGAAAGAAGAAGATAAAAAAGAAGAAGAAGAAAAAGAAAGAAGAAGATGAAAAAAGAAGAAGAAGAAAAAGCAGAAATAGAAACTAAAGAAAAAGAAGAAAAGGAAAAAAAAGACGAATAATTATATTTCTGGAAAGCTCTTGTAATAACTACAAAATCAACGACTATATTCTCTCTCACAAATACAGCCACTCACTCTATCTCTTTATCTATCTACATTTTCCCTCGCTCTCTATCTCTCTCTCTCTCTCACTATATATATATATATATATATATATATATATATATGATTTGTGTATTCCTTTTCTTACATATATCAAAGAAGTTTTAAATTAAGTTAAAAGATCATATTAATAGGCCTAAAATGAAATTGCAAAGAAACGAAAATAATACATTATGATTATTAAAAAATACATACACAGATAGATACTAACAGACTGAGATAGATAGATAGATAGATAGATAGATAGATAGATAGAAAAAGTATTTACGTGAATGAATTCATATACGCCTATGGCCTGAAACTATAATACCTGTTTTAAAATGCACTTTTCTTGCATAATGCGTGAAAAGCACCTTTACAAGGGAGGAGATTGGATATTTCTTGTGTGGAAAAAATGATTTCATCGACATTAGGCTACGGATTTGTTAATGTACTTAAACAGTAGCAGAACGCATATACATACACGCACGCACGCACGCACACGCACATATATATATATATATATATATATATATATATATATATATATATATATATATATATATAATTTTATAGATCTATTTCAGTATATTTCAAGCTATTCACTCTTTCGCTATCTACTTATCTATGTACCTATCTATCAGTCTGTTTCAGACTGTTCATATGAATTTATAATCTATCTATAATATGTATATAGTTACACACACAGACACATACACACAGATATGCACACACACACATATATATATATATATATATATATATATATATATATATAGATAGATAGATAGATAGATAGATAGATAGATATATATATATCATCCTATTATATATATATTTGTTCATGTCCATCAGTTTGTTTCATATCCTCATACCTGTCTATCTGTAGTAAATATATATATATATATATATATATATATATATATATATATATATATACATGTATATATATATATATATATATATATATACATATATATATATATATATATATATATATATATATATATATATATATATATATGCAAACACACACATATTACTGTGAAAAAACAGAATTCAGGTGATAAATATTCACACTGAACGTATTTACATCTACTTTAAGGTTTGATTTAAAGTATAGCCACATATATATTAATAAATATATACATTAACTCTCACTAGCGCGACTCGGAGTCTCATGCAACGGTCAGTCTATAATCAACACCGCTATCTATCTATCTATCTATCTATCTATCTATCTATCTATCTATCTATCTATCTATCTATCTATCTATCTATCTATATATGTTTCCATAATAAATCCCCACGCCCGCCATATTTTGATCATTTTTTTATGAATTACACCATGATCATCTAAACAGCAGAGCTTTCTTCATGAAGCATTTATTTTTAAAACCTATTTACGCATTCATTTATTTTTTTTCCTCTATGCCTGGTCCTGCATTTCTACGACCAGTAATTAACCATGCTCAATGCATGTGTATGTGTGCTTGTCTTAGTCACGTTCTGCATGTCTTCAGTCTGAACACATCTTGCCAACAACGCCAGGGAAATAAGGGAAGGGACGTCACTCTGTCATTTCAAAATGCGACCACTATAGTAGTACGAAGAGACACGGAAATCAACGCAGTTTAACAATAGGAAATCGTGGGTGGAAATAGATTTTTAGGGGATTTTCTTTCTTTATTATTTATTATTAACAATTTCTAATGTTATTTCTCTCTGCTATATCGCTAAATGAGATGCTCGTGAAAAGATGCAGATACGAAATCTGTTTTTTTTTTTTTTTGAGGGGGGTGTATAACCTACACTCTCAACTCTCTAAGGATGGTTGATGGGGATTGGGACTTCATCTCTTGTAGGTTTTGGTGGAGTTTAGACTAACTTTGTCTTCTTGATATCAATTTATCACTGTGTTGGTGAACTGAGTCTAATCATATGTCTATATTCATAACTGCCATTAAATTTCAAAATAAATTAGAAAACTTCATTTTCCGTTTTCTTTTCTTTCTTTTTTTTTTTTTCGAAAGATTAAGGAAGGTTAATAGCTCTCTTTCCAGAATAGCAAAAACTGTATATTTAAAAAAAAAATTACGTTTAGGTGATATAAGCAAACACACACACACACACACACACACACACACACACACACACACACACACACACACACACACACACACACACACACACACACAGCGTGTCCCCGCAAATCTACTCCATTTTGAATATTTATAAACACTCATTAAATTTCATTTAATATTCATTTTAAATGGTTGGTCTTCTTTGTAAATCAATAAACGCTGCATATATTGTGATTTAAAGAGTACATTTTTGGGAAACCGCGAATATATATATATATATATATATATATATATATATATATGAAGAAATATAATCTTAAGGTGTGCTATATTTATGGGACAAAGTGCTCAATATCAGAGATAGAGCGTGTGTAAATATAAAAGTGAACATTGAGGCGACAGTCTGTTTCATGCTAGACGCAATCGTCAGGCCATTTCAAGCGTATTTACAAATATATATATATATATATATATATATATATATATATATATATATATATATACCCACCAAACAAAAATATATATATATACACGGGCTCCCAAAAAATACAATATAACAAATACTAGAAGCAGTTTATACTAAAAAAATGAAAATCGGCACTGAACAGAATCAACTATGATTAATGCAGTAATGTTCTGAAATGCTTGTAAAGAAACAGTTTTTAATGCTTTAAAGCGCGTGACCACGTCATTATAACATAGAAAAAAAAATTCCATAATGGATAATTTTTTCACGTTCTAATGAACGCTCAGCGCATTGTCAACGGTTCTGCATTTAAAACATAAGAAAAAAATTTCTTTAATGGATAACAACGCAAATTTTTCTAAAAAATACTTATACTAATGGACAACATATAGTTTTGTACCACTTGCACTACTGACGATGATCTTGGATATAGATCGAAAGTACTTGTGAAATGAAAATAAAAGAAATTTAAACAGCTATAGCACATTTCTCTCATCCCTTAGCATCAATACACGGAAGTTTCTTCGTGTGTATGAACGGATTTTATTAAAAATTAGCAGACATAAAATCTGTAATTTATTCAATCAGACACACACACTCTGCTTTAAGTGTCCGAGTTTAGAAACAGAAATCCTTTAGAATGAGTAGAAAATAAATCAAAGAATTGTTTTTATCCATGCCTTAAGATGCGTTATGTTATGTATATATATATATATATATTAATATATATATAATTCGAACTATTAACTGAACTTAGTTAACTGAAGGTTAAGTGGCTGATATATATATATATATATATATATATATATATATATATATATATATATATATATATATATGAGTTCAATTATTAAAACACGTAAATTTCAGAAATACGTTATTACCCAAAAAATTTCGCTTGAAGATGGAAGAGAGCTTACTTTAACTGAATTTAATTCAAATAATTATATTGAAGTTTTCGGCTCTTGTTTTAAAACATGAGACTTCTTATGTCGCGAGTTGGAATCATATTTTTAAATAAATAATTATATATATATATATATATATATATATATATATATATATATATATATATATGTATGTATGTATGTATGTATAAAAGAATTCAAGCATGAAAAAAGCTGTGACCCTATCCTGACGCCAATAACCACTCTCACATTAACGTTCGCTCTATCCCTGAAATTGAGCACATATTCTTATCACATATTATAATTCTAAGTCGTTCTCCATTACACCACATTACGCACACGCACACAGACACGCACATCATACTCACAGACACACACACACACACACATATATTTATATATATATATATATATATATGTGTGTGTGTGTGTGTGTGTGAGTGAGTGAGAGAGGGAGTTAAAGATCAAATGAAGATCAAATATGGATCGGAATCCAACGTGATGATAAAATATAAAGAACAAATAGGAACCTTATATCAATCTAACATGTTTCAAATTTACTAAAGCTTCGTCAGAGATTGAGAGAAAACAGACAAAAAGACGGAACACACTGGTATTTTCAATTATGTCTGCGTTAGTTCCCGTTAGTCAGAAACGTGTCACATATATTAAAACCGTGAATAATTCTATATGTACATAAGTTTGTGAAGATTCTTGTATGTCTAAGTGGGTATCGGATGGTAATGTGTCTACGTAACTGTGTATGTATGTCTGTCTAGTGGGAGTTCCAATGTCGTCACCTCTGTGCAATCATCCAGCACCACTGTGTGTCACATCATCCAAATTAATTCTTCGAAATCCACGAATGGCATCCAGCATTGGTGACTATAACTGTTCATCTAGAAAATGTTCAGCGTGTATATTTCACAGAAGATACTGCTCGAAACGTAATTGAGAATACACCAGAAACCACTTTGATAGCTTTCTTCAAATTATGCCAGAGTGACCTTTTAGCCCGAATACTGCTGTTTGCTGTGGGCCCCGTCTACTACACCTGGGCACAATAGATGAAGCGGGCGCAAACAAGGAGCACAAATTGAAAGCTGGGAAGAAAATACTGTCTTCAGAAGCGGGACCATCGGGCGGGTGTACACTGTGCAGGAGTGAATCTTTCTGTGTCTTCTGTGAAACAGTGTGAAAAAGTGTGAGAACCAGTGCCATTTTAGCTGCAAAGAATGTGGCAGTTGATGATTTGAACATCAACATTCTGGAATAGTTACCAGGCAAGCGTCGCTGTTACAATTTCATTGACGCTGTCCTAAACGCTAATGAAGCAAAGAGTTATCCAGTTGAATTTTTGAATAGCATAACACCAGCAGGCCTTCCATCGCACAATTCGCATCTCAAGATTAGTACACCAGTGATCTTGCTAAAAAAGCTGGAGCCACCGAAACTATGCAGTGGCACTCGACTTACAATTAAGAATTAAGAAAATGTTTCCAAAAGTCTTTGAGGTGAGGTTGTATTTATTCCTAAAGTTCAATTTATTCCATCGGATATGCCTTTCTAGTTTAAGCGGTTGCAATTCGCGGTGAAACTATGTTTTGCAATCAGCATTAACAAAGTTCGTGGACAGTCTTTGGATTTGGTAGGCCTTAACCTTGCAGAACTGATTTTGTCCCATAGCCAATTTTATGTTGGATGTTCAAGAGTCGGCAATCGCAATCATTTGTCTATTTATAGTCCATACGGAAAGAGCAAAAATTTTGTTTATCAAGAGACTCTTTAAACTTGATAAGAAACACCCAAACATCAGTTGTTTATGATTTAACTGTACTATTTTTCAGTGTTGTAAATCTTTTGTTAATCTATATGTTATTCGCTTTGTGAATCTATATATAAATCTATTTGCAGGACAATTGTGGAACTATATGTCAGTCTATTTGTACATCTATTGTAAATTTATTTTCACATTAGCCCTCCTAAGGACTATTTTCTCTGTGAACGCATAAAAGCCC